TACAATAGCTCCACATACGCATCTATCAATACCCGATCTGTAATACATAAGCGATCATCAATGTGAACGATACAAATGCGACACTTAGAAAATGTTCGAAGCCGCTGAAACATAAGCCACAATGGGTATAACAGAGAAGAGGACAGAGAATGGAATTTGGAGAGAGCTTCCGTCAGAAGACCCCACCCCTGGGATAGTTTTCGATCCACTATCTGCACCACAAAATAAAAATAGGAACATGGATTAGAAACAGAGAGTGCGAAATAGACTCAATTGTGAAGAAATTATCATTCTTCCGTGTAAACGTAGCGTAGCACCTGATGGAACACTAGGAACTGATGGTGAGCTTGAAGATGGTGTATTTGGGGAACTGCTCGGGCCACCTCCATTAGCTGCAATGACAAGATTTTCAGCCCCAGTAAAACTCTAAAAAGCGGGAGTAAATTTAAAGCGGAGAGAGGGAGCTCTGTTCATCAACTACCCATTAGTTTAGCTTTGAGATTCGTGTTAGTGTATGATACACGTCAATGACATTTTTTTTAGATGTGTGCCTAGATGTGTATTACACACGTACATGAATCTCGAAGTAAATTAAGAGACAAAAAGCTTGTGGGCAGACCCCTCGGTCAACTTAAAAGGGAGTGCATTTGACTTAATAAGGAGAATGTATTCGGGGGTCATTTATGGAAAATCCTTACAGTTGCATTTGCTTGCTGGTGGAGTTTTGACATTGCAGGCACCAGGAAGAGCCAGAGCCTGAGTCTGGTTGATGTTGATCCCTAATGACGAGCTTCCACCGTTGAGGACCATACAGAGACATTGAGGTTCAGAGCTAACCACGCTGCCAAGCTGAGAGCAACATGAGCTCGAAGGTTTCGAGTCGTTGCCAGTAATGTAGTTGAGGCAAGGAGAGAGGTTGATGAGGGCGGAAGTGCAGCTGCTTGATTGAGCTGACGCGGTTGCAAACAACATTGCGACCACGATCGCTGATAGACCCAGATTGAACCTGGTTGAATCCATTTGGTGCTGTTTGAGTTTTGAGTACGGGAGAAGATTTGAGTCGAAGTATGAGAGGTTTGAGGTGAGTTTGTGTATTTGTTTTTGTTTTGAGATTTGAGAGAAGGGCGAGTTTATATAGATGAAGTTTGAGAGAAGTCAGAGAGGTTATATGGGGGTTTGGTCATGTTGGTGAGCTGCTGCTCCTACTATCTAACAAATTATATCGAGAGTACGGACTTTAGGAGGTTGAAGACCGAAATCTGTACTATATATTTCTCTAATTTTGGAAGGAAGATCATGTCATAAAGTTGATTTTGTTCTATCATTAATGTTAAATATGCAATGAGAATAGCCTAAGGGCATGAGGGAAGTTGGTACAAAGCCTCATTCATGATGAATGAAACCTTGATTTCCTCTTTGTAAAGTGAACTAATGGTAAAAAGCATGGGTTGTTAGGTTCATGTAAAAAACTATTAACCTCCTCTAAAAAAACCAATGTAATCTCCTCTTAAAAAAGGTAAATGTTGACCTCGCTACGGCAGGCGTTTGTTATCGTTCCTTTTTGTAAGGAAATTACATGTTTGAGTTGTAACCTACCCACAAATTTTTTTTTTGGGAACTTTACTCACTGTTAATGAAGATAATAAATATTCTTGATTAATTCTGAATTATAGCCTACTCACTGAATGGTCCTGAAATATTTCTAGTTACCAGGAGACCGTATTTTTTTTATTTTTCATTTTTAGTAATTGGCTCTAAGAATTCCTAATCGTGAACTGGGTGTAGAACTAGGGAGAAGAAAAATATAAAGCATCACCACTTATTTACTTTCTTTTTGTCAACTATTGGATGGTCTAGAGGGTCATATAATTTGTGAATTTGTGATATTTCAGGACATGAAATAAAGTTCTGAATCAGATTTAGTAAACTAAAGATTTTATATGTATTTATAATTTAACTCTCCAATAAGATCATTTCCTCCAAACAAAAGGGAAAAAAAGATTATCTAAAAAGATCAAGTTCTGAAGTTTAAGATAAAATTGATACTTTATCTACTTTAAATAGCACTTGTATATCTAGGAGTTATGATACTTGTTGATGTGGGGAAATTGGATCAGTGATTTAGGAGAGGTAAGTTAGAGGCATTCTAGGTTGTTTCCTCCGACATACCCTCTAACGCTCAAGTCAGTAACTGATTTGATTAATCTGAAAGAGATAAACATAGTATACTCTTGTTGCTTTTTTATGTGTAAAATTGCATATCTTAGTATAGTGGAAGTTACCATTATTTACAGAGGATTTATGAGGGCATGTAATTTGGTCGGATTTGTGCAATGATGGGTCAGATCATGCTTTACACGTGTCGACATCGGGTTGGACGAGTCGCCCTTGCAATAGTGATAAGGCTACTAAAGTACTGGCATAGTCCGAGGAGCTTTGAAGGCTCTAGCTCGAGAGGTAATAATGACTAACATTGCATTAATGTTGATGGTGACTGGACAGTAAAGTGTGGGTGCTGACTGCTCATGCATTAAATGTGATGTGACTGTTGATGAAGTTAACAAGTCGTTCCACTATTTGAGGCGCTCAGTGTTGGCTCCGACTGGCAAATGCCTTTCGTCTCATATTTGATCTTATAGCAGGTCCCAGGTTGAATATGCCTTTTATCTCAGATTTGGATTGCGAGATAGGTCGGCTGACTCCGCACCTCTTAGATGTATTGAGTCGGCCGGCAAGTTATTACGTGTGGCTGCTTGTTGATGCTTCATTAGGATTGGTAATTTCTAGGACATAACAATACTGATATTGATTCTCTAGTACTTATCCAAATTAGGGTCACCTTTAAGTATTTAATATAACTAAATCATAATTTTATTTTGGACAAATTTAATAAATAGAAAATTTTAAACATGTTTAGTATAAATAGATAAATAATATTTTCCAATTTCCAACCATATGGTTTTACAAAGGAGCCATTGTAGTAAAATTAAATATAGCAACAGTTTAAAAAAAAAACATGCTAATGTTGGTCAAAGTGCTAATGAACAGAGTTGAGATTAGGTGGCCGCTGCGCCCTAAATTAAGTTTATATTTAGATGATTTTACCGACATTTGTTGACGATAGTTTTTAAAGTGGTGGATGGCGTGAAATCCAAGTGTCTTTTGCAATCAAAATAACATTTTGCTACTGAGTGATATGCTTAACATGTGGATTATTATTTTTTAAGAAGAACAAGTGCATTATTTTTAAATAGGAAGAATGCTCGCTATTGGTTCTAGTTTATATTGGAGAAGATGAAAATGAGGAAAAATTGATGTTTCAACATTTTTATTTGTGATTTTATCTTTTTATCTCCTTTCTCCATGTTTTGACAATCCTAACTAATAGAAAGTAAAATGTGAAAAAGAAAAATATAATTTATAATATATATAGTGCTAGGTTGCTAGCGAAAACGGATGGTGACAAATGAAAAGCTTAGAAGAGACTATAAAATGTTAATTTATCTCTCTTATAAATTCAAATTTTTGAGAAAGTTTAACAATTAAAGAGTCAATGTGATACTCTTTACTTTTCATCTCCTTTTTAGTCAGTGTTCAACTGTCAAACAACAACAACAACAAAAAGAAAGAAAGATAAAGTCACTTTTTAATATTTAGTCCATTTCTAATTTACCTTTCGATTGCCAAACCAACTATAAGTCCGTATAAATTGATTTCACGAACTCTATACAAAAACCAAATTTGGGTGGGCATTGCATTTGTTTTTCTATACTCTGTCCGTAAATTTTATCTTTGGACGACCACAATTGTCTCAGAGTACCGATTGATCCTTGAGCATTTTTTATTTACGTTGTATAAAAGAAGAGTAATCATTTTTTTGGTAATTAAGCAATTATAAAGAGCTCTAATACAATCATTAATGTATTTGAGGAGACAATCGTTAGCTCCTCTGGGGCTGTTTGGTTGTTGTTGGTAAAGTTGTGTATTTATGACACAACTTGGAAAGTTGTTGTCCACCTCATCAATTTCACTTTTATACTTTTCTTTGTTTGTTTTTGATTCCATTGGAATCATAAAACACTTGTTTGGTTTCCAAAATAAAACTTTAATTGTTTGTTTGGAAAGTGTAAAAAATGGTCCCTACTCAAATGATCATATTGGTTGGAATTATTTTTTATTATTTTTTCCTAACTTCAATGTTAGCTTTCTCCTAAAATCATGTCTTTTTTTCATGAAATCACTTTACAAGTCACATCAGCATATGAAATCACTTTACACTATTTTCACAACTACAAACAAACAATTGAAAGTGATGAAAGCTGACATTGGGACCCACTTTTTTACACTTTACATCCTTTTACATGGTAAAAACATACAACCAAACAGCCCCTATCGATTATGCAGTTACAATCATCCCCTCTAGTTTGCTCAGGTGTCTGACACGTGTAAGCTGATAGGGCAAGAATTGCAAATATTGAATTTGTTGGACTCGGATCCTCTACTAACGAGGGAGTTGCTAATATCTCCTAATGAACAAATCTCAGCCGTTCATTTTACATCAACGGCCAGTATCCTCACTACACATCCCCATGAAGTTCTCTCTCCCCTTCACAACCCCCTTCAACATCCTGCAGCTCCCTCTCTCCCCCTCCCTCTCTCCCCCTCCAAGATCATCGGCGCTCGGCGCTCTCTCCCCCTCGATCTCGATTCGCGAGCTCACCGCAAATCTGGACCACCTCCGCGAGCCGACCCCGCCGTTGATCTCTCTCCCTCTCGAACTCGATCTCGATCCGCGAGCGGAGTTCGTCGCAGATCTGGACCACCTCCGCGAGCTCTCTCTTTTCCCCAAAACTCTCCCTAAAATTCCTCCGCAAGATTCCTCCTCCGACGCTGCAGGTAATCTCCCCAAAATTCCTCCGCGAGTATGTAATGTGATTAAGTTCTTCCCCTTTTCTTCTGCTTTCTTCTTCTCCTCTCACTCTCTGCGTCATAATTATGGTTTGTGATTTTTCTCTGCTCAATTTTAAGCTCTTGGAGTAACAACACTGATAAACATTAATCCCTTGTTTATTGGAAACATTCATGACTGTAACTTGAATATAGATCATGAAAATATTTCTTTATGACTTTTTATTAAGACTATATCAAACTGTGGTTTATAGGGGGGAATTTTTTTAATTCAGATATGATTAGTATTTAATTTTTATTGTGTCATGAAATTTTTATTAAGACTATATCAAACTGTGCTTATGATTTTTGATATTTGATTGACTATTGCAGGCATTATGGAAGAGAATGCGGAAGAAAACAATGATAGTTTGGAGTGTTCAAAAGAAGACTTGAAACCTAAATTTTTTATGGAGTTTGATTCTGAGATTGATGCATATGACTTTTATAACGAATATGCACGTAGTGAAGGCTTTAGCATTAGAAGAGCTGCTTATGCTGCAGATAAACAAGGTGTACTCACTTCAAGAACATTTGTTTGTTGTAAGGAAGGTTTACGGAAGGCGGATAAGAGAGACGATTTGACGAGAAATACAAGAGGAGAGACAAGGACTAATTTGTAAAACCTCGTAGAATTTGATTAATGAGTTTTTATTATGAAATATATGTTCATATCATAGATGAGTATGATAACAAGTGTTTGGGGATCAAACAAGTATATTTATGTGAGAGGAATCGAGTGTCAAGACCAGCACACACACAACATGCACAAACAG